GAAATAATTACTAAAACTATTTTAATAAAAAATCGAAATTTTTGGTCGGTCATATTGGGTCTACCATTTTGAATTTTCGAATATTGACTGCAGATTTGTAATCAGCGACCTCGAAAACCCCCAAGTACCGAGTTTCACCCGAAACAGGTGAATTTTTTATTTTGGTCCGCCATTTTGGAAACGCCATCTTGAATTCCCAAAATTGTATTAAATAAATTTAAAGTGGGTAAACTAATTACCACTAATTTTCGTAACAAAAATAATTTTTTAATATACGCTGTAATACTTTTTTTGCACATAATAGGAAAAATATAAAATAGTTTTCCTGTATTTTGGAGTGTGGACGCGCCGCCATTTTGAATTTTGAAAGGGGCCACACGGCAAATAAAAGTAGACATGTTTAGCTAAATTTTCAGCCCTGAAAAAATTTTTTGGGTTTATATGAATTCTGGGCAGAGGGGGGTGTCCGGTTGAGAAAGAATGCCCCATATATATAATATATTAGACTTCATACATGTATTGAATACTATTACAAAAATGTTTGTATAACAGTAACTCAAGAAAATTAATGAATATATAAATATATACATACAATATATATGTATAGATATACAAAATGTTTGGAAATTAGTGATAAGTCTTTCGCACAGGGACAAAATGGACTAAACTGAGAAAAAAAATCCTCTATCACTTTACAATTGTCGCAATGATTAACGAGTTATATACAGGGTGTCCCAGTAACTCTGTTACAAGGCAATATCTCCGTTACCGTTAATGATACGCGAAAATGCCTGAGGAAGAAATTGTTTGGTTCGAAGGGACACACATTATGGTGAGATTTATTTCTTTCTCAAGGTCATATTTTTAGAGCCTCCAAAGTCATCGATACTTTTTTAAATAGGACTACATATTTTTTTCATTATAGCGTGATAGCTGAGGTCAAGACGAATCCAATGGCCTATAATACCATGACCTTCACGTGACCTTGAGAATGAAAAATTCAGAAATTTTGAGGAATGGGTGCGAATAATGAAATAAGTACAATACAAAATTTTGCATTGAAAAATTTATTGTAATAAATGTTCAAAATTGTTTCCATGTACTTCTAAACATTTGTTGATTCGAGTATTAAGCAAACGTCGCACATCTGCTTAATACACTTCCTTCATTATTAGAAGATGTTCCTCTATTCTTACGTCTGGTTATGTGGTTTCAACATTCCTCTAGATTTTTTTCTATGGGGCTTTATCAAAGAGAAAGTTCTTTCGACAAAGCCTACGACACGTAATGACATGAAAGAATGAAAAAGATGTGCGACGTTCGCTTAATACTCGAATCAACAAATGTTTAGAAGTACATGGAAACAATTTTGAACATTTATTACAATAAATTTTTCAATGCAAAATTTTGTATTGTACTTATTTCATTATTCGCACCCATTCCTCAAAATTTCTGAATTTTTCATTCTCAAGGTCACGTGAAGGTCATGGTATTATAGGCCATTGGATTCGTCTTGACCTCAGCTATCACGCTATAATGAAAAAAATATGTAGTCCTATTTAAAAAAGTATCGATGACCTTGAAGGCTCTAAAAATATGACCTTGAGAAAGAAATAAATCTCACCATAATGTGTGTCCCTTCGAACCAAACAATTTCTTCCTCAGGCATTTTCGCGTATCATTAACGGTAACGGAGATATTGCCTTGTAACAGAGTTACTGGGACACCCTGTATATGCACAACGTACTTAGCGACGGCGGACGCGTGTCTCGCCGCGCGGGACGGGTCTATCCTGTTGCGCACTTGTATTTGGCGGTGGGCTGGGCGAATTTGGCTACTTTCATAAGTTAATAACTCATTAATCATTGCGACAATTGTAAAATGGTAGAGGACCTTTCTTCTCAGTTTAGTCCATTCTGCCGCTGTGCAAACGACTGTATATTCATTATGATCATATTTATTATGGAATGAACAGAATACACATATTAGGTGTACAACTTTGCTTCCGCCGTTTTTTTCCGAAATTCGAGGCTTTATTGTAAAAAACTGGTTATACATTTATGATTCAAAGTATTATCTATCACTGGCCACTACTTTCTTTCATTTTCGGGCAGCGTACAAATCGCGCGTCTAAAAAACTGGTCATCTTTTGAGGCTATCCACGAATCGATCCAATTTTTTACTTCTTCATAAGACCGGAAGTGCTGGTCAGCCAGGCCGAGTGCCATTGGTCGAAACAAGTGATAGTCAGAGGGAGCAACGTCTGGAGAATACGGCGGATGGGGTAGGACTTCCCACTTCCAAGTATGTTTTGGCCACATTCGCAACATGGGGTCGAACATTGTCATGCTGCAAAATCACTTTATCGTGTCTCTCGTTGTATTGCGGCCGTTTGTCTTTCAATGCTCGACTCAAACGCATCAATTGCGTTCGATACCGATCGCCTGTGATTGTTTCAGTCGGTTTTAACAGCTCATAATACACTACGCCGAGCTGGTCCCACCAAATACAGAGCATGACCTTGGACCCGTGAAAATTCGGTTTGGCCGTCGACGTGGAAGCAT